GGCCTGGGGCTGTTGACCTTATTGTTAAGGTCCAGCCCCGATTAGAAATGTTATGTGTGTTGGGAATTTTTAAATTATTCTTTTATTTTGCTTTTATTTTTTTCTTTCTTTGTAAGCCACCCGGAGTCCTCCGGGATTGGGCGGCCTAGAAATTTAACAAATAATAATAATAAGAGCTTTCTGGCATGCTTTTCCTTTTCTAGAGACCCAGTTTGCAATTGCAATTTAATCAGTGACACCGTAAGACCTTGCCAGGCATATTAGAAAGCATCCACATGAACAAAACTCTTTCCTAAGAAGGCCTGCCTTAGAAGAATGGATGGGGGAAAGGAACTGAGGGAAGTAAGTAGAGGACATGCAGTGAAAGAAGTGAAAGTTCTTCAGTGTTTGGGGTCTCAAGCGCTACAGTCCAACACCACACAGAGACACTTCTGTGAGAACCAATCTCTTCTTTCCTCGAGGCCCAGGGGCAACAACAGAATTTCACCATCTGGTTCTTACTGGAAGCAGCCAAGCAGCAGATGGCTGGACAGGGGGAAAAAGGCTGCTCTGGATTCAAGAAACAGGCGAGACAGGAGGAAAAGATATTCCTTCGGGAGGATACTATTACACCTATCAAGTGATGTGACCAATGACCCTGGCAGAGGTAACTGACTGCCATATGGAACAACAGATTGTGAAAGTAAAGTCTCAGATCACTGACAAAGGAGATATTTATCTCCTATTGACTATTTTACAGTGGTTCCCAAACTTGGCAACTTTAAGACTTGTGGACTTCAACTCCTAGAATTCTCCAGCCAGCTTTAAGTCCACAAGTCTTAAAGTTGCCAAGTTTGGGAACCACTGCTGTAGCCATAGAGGTAAACTAGTAAGAGATCAGAAGAAGAAAGTAATCCATAAATATGCAGTCAGCATATTTATCCCTGTTGGATTTTGTTATGCTGGTTGATGGCAGAGACATCATCATATGAGCCATGGCGGCACAGTGGTTAAATGCAGTATTGCAGGCTATTTCTGGCAACTGCCAGAAATTCGGCAGTTCGAGTCTCCCTGGCTCAAAGTCAGCCTTCCATCCTTCCAAGGTCAGTAAAATGAGGAGCCAGATTGTCGGGGACAATGTGGTGACTTGTAAACTGCTTAGAGGGGGTTGTGGAGCACTATGAAGTGGTATATAAGTACTATTAGGTTCTCCTGCAGACTTTTAAATAAGGATTATATTTTAACACGCAAAATGGAAAAAGGAGAAAGGAGGCAAGCCTTTTCTTGAAAGTTTCAAGTAAGAAAGTAAGAAAACACCCCAAAGAGAGCTTCTTTCCTCTCAGGGAACTACCCTTGCAACGTCACAAGATGTGTGCTCACCGATATGCCGTATGAGGGATGTAGACTTCTCGAACTGGGAATCCAAGGATCTCCTTGGTGGGTCGGACACGCAAATCGGGGTAGGGCTGGACATGCAACAGTTCAGGTGAGAGGCAATAATGAGGATTTTCTGGCACTGGTGAAATATCAATCTTGAATTGAGCTGTGATGCAAAAACAAGAGGAATATAGGAATGATTTACTGCACATACAGAGCAACATGTCTATCCATGCATCAAGCACCAGGAGTGACCATGGACAGCTGGAAGATGGGGGGATACTGGAATCCATCTTTATCCCATGTGAAGCCATTCTGAAGCTGAAGGACGAGCACTAGAAGGTGCTGGAGCAAGAGCCAGANATTGCAGGCCTGACATCAAGTGTTATTCATTACAAGACAAGAAAGTCAACTTTTAATGACTTTGAAAACCAAAACTGAAACTAGTCCTATATTCAGAAATGGCTTTTTTCAATACTAAGGGAACAAATCTGAAATGAAAAGTGTGAATTATTAACGAAGTTCATTTTATACTAAGCAACTCAAAAGAATGTAAAAAATAACATAGGCATTAACTCTGTTGTAAAATGCTGACTTTATGTTGGAATCTCAAGTGGATTAACATATTCAGAAGACAGGATATTACATACAATTTCTTAATTTAGAAAGTATTTAATTCTTTTTTCATTGTCAGGGAATCTTGAGAGGAACTTTAACTAAACTTCAGCTTCAGAACATGCCATGATTTCTTACTTTTAATTGTATCCTAATTTGAGTATTTCATGAAATAAATCCATGTAATCACTTTACAAAATTGGAAGCAGAAAGCATTGAGTGGGCAAATGAAAAACCCAAGGAACAATTTATCTTGGGGGGAAAGGAGGAAACATTCTTTTTTTTAAAAAAGCCTAGAAATAAGTGTTCCCAATGTGAGTTCTATCCAATTCCTATTTTCCCAGCTGAAGAAGAAAGGTATAATACATTTAACAACTATAAGGATTAAATAGGTTATGTGAATTTACCCCTTGTTTTTGAAAAGCATACAGCTAGGATCAGAAGTAACATCTCAATGCCAAATGTTTTTGAGAAAGTCAAAATCAAACTGATTTAAGAAAACGCATCTCTTTTCCTTACATTTTAAAGACAGGGAGCATGGCATATCAGAGGAGGTGGGTGCATCTTTTACTTTCTACTTAACCAAAAAATGTTTTTTTTTTGTCTGCTGCTGCTCTTAGGGAATAATTGGAAGAACAGGGGAGGCGTTTCCTAGGAAAGTACATTGTATGGCTAGCTAATCTATTTGACTTTCTATTTTCTGAGCAGATAAAAAGAGTCTCTCCTCTCCATACAAATAATTGGAAAAAAATAAAGCTGCATCCTGTTGACTTTCAACTTTATTGAGATCCATCAGTTTCAGAGAATCAAACTTTATTGAGATCCATTAGTTTCAGAGACTCCAAAATACAACAGATGCATGAACATTGATCCTATTTTGCATTCATGTAAAATAAGGGTATATATAGTCATCTTTTCTCTCCAGCATTTGTTGGAATGGCTGCAAATGTGACTATTAAAAAACGACAACAAACATCTCACCTTGATCACCAGGAATATTTCTGGAGAAGGATGTGTAAGAGAGAACACAGCTGAGCGAGCTAGTGTGGAGATGGCAGGATGAGTGCTGTGAGATCGGAGAAGGGATTTCATATGTTCCGAATTGAGATCAAAATAAAAATTTTCAGAGATCTACAAAATAGAGAGAAGGGCAGCAGTCAAAAAAAATGCTATCAAAATCTCCTCATGACCTTCACAGCAATCAGAACAATACAAAAGTCAATTATCTCAGTATCCAGATAAGAGAAACTTTTAACTGCAACTCTGGTGAACACAATATTGAAATCTGGCTTATTCTTAGTACAGTGGTTCCCAAACTTGGCAACTTTAAGACTTGTGGACCTCAACTCCCAGAATTCTCCAGCCAGCAGAGCTGGCTGGAGAATTCTGGGAGTTGAAGTCCACAAGTCTTAAAGTTGCCAAGTTTGGGAACCACTGTCTTAGTAGATACTTGGGTCTACTCTTAATATAACAACAGGGGAACACAAGCAATTCCCTTTGTTTTCTGCTAGATCTGCTTAATATTCAGAGGAAGTTTTAGCATAGGAAGAAATAATGGGTTCGGCCTTGGAGCTACGTTTGTTTCCTGTGCCCTGCCTAGAGCAACAGGAATAGCCAGTGGCATTCAGCCAGATGAAATTTTTGCATTTGTCTTTCTTATTTTAACCATTGCAGAGACTTCAGGCGCCCATTTTCTCACTCAACCTTTCTCAAGCCATGAACAATGACCAATTTGATGAGGAAATTAAAGGATGCTAAGGATGCCCAAAACTCAATAAGAGCTAAGGCACATATTTTGCCCTTCAATGTGGGAAAACCAGAAGTGAAAATTCTACCACAATTATATTGGTGATATCACATTTTGTAGGACTATGGAAATCTCAAATGGGTTTTTTGAGACTACGTTTTCATTAGCAGGTCAGGGACTTATACATTATTTAGTGATTTCAGAAAAATTATTACAACAAGAAATAATACATCACATTGAGTAAAAAAAAATCAAAACTATTTTAATGGGAAACCCAGTAGGGCTGGAGAGCAGTTGAAGAAAGAAAGAAACATGGATGATAAAGTTAGCAGGACATGGAGCCCACTAAGTTTCTTATTGTGTCTGAAGTCCCTGGGAATTTGAAAGGCGATCAAATAAGATGAAATCTACAAGGAAGGGAAGTTCTCTGTTCTCTGCTATTTCCCGTGCATCATCTACTTAGATCAGATGATCCATCCTTCTTTCTTTGAAATCTGTAATTGAAAAAAGGATCTTAGGGAACTTGGTGCTTGAAACTAAAGAGACAAACTCTCTCTTTCAAAAGTCTGGATGTTTCTGCTTCTCCATGAGAAGATAGGAAATATAAATAGCTACAGATTTAGGGGAAGAAATGAACCTACATCATGTTGTCTTAAGAAAGTGCTAATTGACCATCCATCCTGCATGATTCCTCAGAGCAATCCTGTTAATGCTCTCCATGTCTATCAAATTAGGATATCAGAAAGAACACGATATAAAATCTGCAACTAACTGTCAAGGCCATTCTGCTGTGCTTAACTGGCGGGTTATCTTTCAGTCAGAACTTGCACTTCTTCTCATTACTCAAGAGGAATCAGAAACAAGAAGTACCTTTTTCTTTTCTTTCACATCGTAAAGTGCCAGTGATCCAAAGATGGGCTCAACTTCTATTTCAAACCTAATCCATGGAAAGGATTATGAAAGGAAAGACATTGCAAAAAGTTGAGTATCTTGTTCTGCTCTAGAAAATACAATGGTTAAGAATCTGGAGCTCTACATCAAAAGAATTCATGAACAATCGTTAATCATGAACAATCAACCCCATTGACACTCTTCTATCCTTGATAAGCAAAATATGACCGGTTTCTTTTAATACCTCATTTAAATGAAACAAGATGCTCACCTGCCATTGGATAAATGAACTTTTCTTATATTAAGTACTGGTACCTCTTAGAAATCCCAAGATAAATCTCCCTACAAAGCATTTTCACACTATTTTGTTTCATTATTATAGTGGACTTTGATGCATCAAAGAAACATGGGGCCCTTCCCATTTCTCCTCTCTCACAGCTGAGGTCCTCAGAGTATGAATCAGAACTAGCAATAATTTTTCATAAAGCATTCTTCCACCATTTCCTTATCAAATACTTCAACAAGATTTCAATGCAGTTTACTATTAAACAAGTATAGATGGTTTTAAGATAAATTGGGTTTCTACCAAAGAGAGACTTTTGCAGTCATCTGACAATGGAAATCTGTAGATAATCAAGTTGTGGGAAATCCCACACAACATTCAGAAGTTAATGACTGTTCAAACTTGAGAAGAGTAGTAATGGAGTGGGGTAACATCTTGCATTTCCCCACATTCAATCAAAATCCATTAGAGAGGGAAATGTCTTCCGACTGGTCATACCAGGAAGCCTCCTTCTGTCTCCATCTTAAGTATCTGGGCAGTACAAACTGCATTTCGGTGCATCGGTTTGGCAGGCTGGGCTGCCAGGAGCCTGCAGCGTCCAATGCTCAGGAATATGAATCCAAACCCAAAGTAACTTCTTCTCAGATAACTCTGCCATCTGCCTGTTTGCAATGTATCACAGAAGTCTGCTGTGTTAACCGCACTGAGTGATAATGTAGCTCCTTCACACTATGGCAGCAAATGCACACATGTGCATCCTCCAGCAAAACGAGTACATGTGAAGCTGTGGCTTGGATGCCACTTTCTGGCCCCCTTTCTTGCACAGCACCATTAAGCAAAAACAAGTGTTTAAAAATAAACCCAATTTTATTCTACATTCAATCATCTTTTTCTACCTGGCATTTGGCAGCTCTATGTTGCCAAGAAATTGTGACTTACTTCAGAGACAAGCATTTGACTAAGATCCTCTGCCCGAAGTGCTCCTTTGGAATATCTGGGATGCTGCACCGTTCTATGGCCTCTTCCTGGGAAGCCAAAGTAACATATATCATTGAACCAATTGTGAGAGATGGAGACTTTGAAAGCTCATAAAACATTATGTTGTTATTCTGTATTAGCCTTTGCATTTATTTGTACAACATTCCAAAATTTCTCCTCCTTTATTTGCTTAGGTCATTTATTTCCCTTGAAAGAGGGCAAACCATGTTTATCAGATTTATTTTTCAAGCATCTCACTGCTTTTAAAATGTGGTGCTTCATTGTGGCCTACTTAATATCAAAACTTCTGCTTGGAGTTATATCTTCTCCTACTGGCTTAAGTGCTCTCCCCCACCCTCCTTGTTGGCTTGACCCCTTTAACTATGACTGATAGCTTTCAGTGTTCCTGGTGCCAGGCATTACATATTAAATTGCCATTTTATAGCTTTACTTGAGCAACTCTCATACTGGTGCACTATGAACGTGCACTAGCCGATCTCAAACAATGGGTCATCAATTTAGAACTGCAACCAAATCCATCAGTTCTACCCAGAAGCCTAATCTTGAGGCATTCTGCAGATTTTCTCCCACCAGTCAGATACCTAAACTACCTAATAATTCTGACATTTAGAAAGGATTTATTCGTGGCTAGATTTAATGCCCTCCCAACAGTTGTTACTGAAGAGAGATACAGACAGTCCATGTGATGGAGAAATAATTGGAATGGTGGATCATGTTATTTCTTATTGTCTTCCCCATCAGGAATTATTGTCTTCATTTTTCACTAAGCATCCTAGTCATTCTCACCCCTTCTGGGTACTTGAGAGACCNAAGGCCTTTGATAACTTGAATTGGCATTTCATTATCACACAGTTAAAAATGATGAGATTTGGAGAAAAATTTATAAAAATGATAGAATCAATTTATTCGGCTCAGACAGCAAAAACAATAATAAATAGCAACACTACAGAAGAATTTAAAATATGGAAAGGAGTGAGACAGGCTTGTCCATTATTACCTTCATTATTTATACTAACACTGGAAGTTCTACTAACAGAAATTAGAAGCAAGCAAGAAATAAAGGGATTAAAAATTTAAAAAAAGAGGAATATAAAACACAGGCATTTGCGGACGATATGGTATTCATATTAGAGGGTCCAGTAAAATCAGGAATTAAATTAATTCAAAAAATAGAGGAATTTGGTAAGATAGCGGGATGTAAAATTAGTAAGAACAAAACGAAGATCATCATGAAGAATTTCACCCCAAAAACAGGAGCAAGAATTAGAGGGAAACATGGGAATGCAAATGGTAAAAAAAGTAAAATATTTAGGAATTTGGCTGACAGGGAAATGCTCAACAATTAAGGAAGATAATTATGTCATAATTAGGTCATAAAATGGGGCAAGACTCACTTAACAAATGTTCACTTAACAACAGAAATTTTCTATTGTGTGTGTTGTTCTGTGGTCTCAATCATGGGCATAAGTCAAGGACTGCCTGTAGTACATTAGATTTTTTTCTAAAGTATGTAGACATCTATAAAATAATAATATAACTCATATAGTTATACTGCTAGTTAATTAAAATCTAGCATTGCAAATTGATTGAACTTTTTAAAGAGATGTTAACTGTAATACTTTTAATGTTGATTAAACAGTATTTTTTTAAAAACAGACTCTTTACAAATCCAGCATGCCAAGAGATATGGAGACAAGGGCATCTTGAAGGCTTTGCTTCTCCCAGCCACCTTCCTTTAAGACCTTGGGACTTACCCCATTCCGCTAAGCAAGAATGTTGTGTCCACCCCACTGACATAGTTTCATTTTGGAAGCTACAGAAAAGTGACTTCTCTCTTCTTTCATGGCAGGCTAGTTATCATTTTTTCCAGAAGAGATTCTGGAAGTCCATGCTTCACTCGCTTCACAGATGCATCAAGTGAGGAAACAAATAGTGCCATACAAACAGCCCCCCCCCCCGATTCTATATCTGCATTCTCGCAGAAACGTTAAACCTACATGATGCTCTGGGTGAGGCTAATACAAAAAACATTCTAACCTGTTTGAAAAAATTGGTGATTGTGAGGGTGGCTGGACGGAAGTTGCTAAAGCTGCACATCTCCTCCCCAACACTCAGCCGTCCATAGGCTTTCCTCTTGCGCTCATTCCAGGTACCTTTGCGCTCTGCAAAAGGAGAGAGTGTTCAATAGGAAAGTCACGCATATGTCCTCAGAGGTCATAAGCAAGAAATAACCCAACAGTTAGACGTGTTACTATTATAATATTCGAATTCCTTATCTCCAGCACAGAAAGAAAGAGAATACCATATTTTTCGAAGTATAAGATGGACCTTCCCCCCCCAAAAAAAAGAGGGTGAAAATTTGGGTGCGTCCTATACACGGAATGTAGCCCCACCCACCCATCGGCCCCCACCCTTTGCCCTCTGCCTCCCAGCAATTTACCTCCTTACATCAAATGGGGAAATTGGGGCTTGAGGCAGCAATAGGCTATGGCAATCCTTGCAGCCTGAAACAGCTGATCATTGGGAGCCCGGTGCTGAAACTGAAAGTGAAACCGACTATTTGCTGCAAGAAGGCAAATTGGTGGGAAGTATAGGCAGATTTTTTTTTCTTGTGCTAATCAGGCTAAATTGGAACAAGCTGTTTGCTGCAAGGAGGTAAGTCAATAACTATAAATGCCTATAGAAAGTTCAAATTATTAGACTTATTTTTTAAAGACTGCTTTATTATTGTTCTAGACAACTTAACAAAATGAAGAAGCTTTTTAAAATAAATGCTTGATCTGAAGAGGCCCGCTCCTATCCTATCTTGGGGCCAAGACCTAAATACCAAAACAAATAGAACAGAACTCAATAAGAAATTTATGATGCGAATGCAGATAATTCTTCTACGTTGAACCCAGCTTCAAATGACTAACCGTTTTCAGAGTCTGAAGCATCCCTCTCAAGGATCCCAGTAGTGCTAATTATGTTCATGAGGTGGATGGCAGTCCAGGCAAATGGCATGCGGTATCGCCCCAACCGGGTGCAAAATTGCTCTCCTGCCACTCGCAGCTTCTCCAGCTTCTCCTTGTTCTGAAAGCACAAGCGGAAAACACCGTCACTGGGTTTCAATTCTAATTGTTTGATCCTTATCGCAGTTTTAACCAAACTTGTGCTCTGCAGGTGTAGCTGGGTTTCAGAAGGCAGGAAATTCTGTGTTAGGAAAAACTGCCTAAATAATCATTCTGAATGGCAAACTATTG